ATTATAATAACATTGGACAATTAGAATGTATTATATGATACAAAACGACGTAGTATGGTGAGTTTGGGTACCTAAGCTTATATACCCTTAAGGGTATATTCACTTTTCCCACATATATATATATATAATATATATATATATATATATATATATATATATAGAGAGAGAGAGAGAGAGAGAGAGCTAGGTTCAAATGTTTCTAGCAAATATTGTGTTCCTAAATGCACCAATCAGAAATTAGCAAATAATTAAATAATTAATTAAATAAAAAAATGGTATTTTCGGTTTTTTGCACTTTCAAGTATTGGTATCATTTAATAAAATCTCTGCACTTAAGGAAACAAATAAATACGTTGACCTAATATTTCTCTTATATCACATGATTGTTCTTCTTCTTCACCCAATTGTACATCGATCGTAACAGAAAAAGAAATCAAGCAAGTCGGCTGTTTCATAAGCGGCATAACACAACTACACCATCGGCGCAAAAACCAGACGACTCCACCACCATCTCCGCCATCCTTCCTCCCTTTGGCTACTGGCGCCACCGTTGGCCGTTGCGCTTTGCTACATCGGGCTTGTTTCCCTCTTTGCATCCATCTCAGTGTTCTCCGATCGACACCTGTATGGTATGGACGCCCCCAATCACGATTCTCCCCCTTTTCATATTTTTTGCCTGATTTCCACCACTGTACTTCTACTTGCATCCGATGATCTCCACCCAACAGCAGCCACAAGCACCGACGACCTCATTCCTCCACCATCGGTTGTTGCCCACCCTATCAAACGACACCAAGATAAAGTGTAGCTCATGTCGAAGACTGAAATATCGAAGACATGTTTTGTTGTTTATATCGAAATTGTAAATATTTCGATATATCTTTTTATTTCATGTAGCATTTAAGTTTGTACTTAAATGTCGAAGTCTATATGTATGTTTTGTGATCGGTTGAGAGCACTATGAATTTTGCCTATAAATAGTGTTGTAGGTTAGATGTTCATGAACGCACTCTTGTACGCTTACGCATTTCACTTTTGTTCACTTGTTTTTATTCTCTAACCTCCTTTCTGATAAATATTGAGCTAAACAGAATTATTTACTTGTTATGTTCTTACTATTCATCATGTCTTCATTCGTATTGTTGATTTCATAGCTGATCAGAAGCCATATGGACCATCCGTACAAGTTAACATGGACTAAAGTTATGACCTTTGGTAAACCACATGAACTATTTATGTAATTTTGTCTAAAATTTAGAAACTACTTCTTATATATATATATATATATATATATATATTATATATATATATATATATATATATATATATATATATATATATATATATAGAGAGAGAGAGAGAGCTAGGTTCAAATGTTTCTAGCAAGTATTGTGTTCCTAAATGCACCAATCAGAAATTAGCAAATAATTAAATAATTAATTAAATAAAAAAGGGTATTTTCGTTTTTTTGCACTTTCAATTATTGGTATCATTTAATAAAATCTTTGCACTTAAGGAAACAAAATAAATACGTTGACCTAATATTTCTCTTCTATCACATGATTGTTCTTCTTCTTCACCCAATTGTACATCGATCGTAACAGAAAAAGAAATCAAGCAAGTCGGTTGTTTCATAAGCGGCATAACACAACTACACCACCGGCGCAAAAACCAGACGACTCCACCACCATCTCCGCCGTCCTTCTTCCCTTTGGCTACTGGCGCCACCGTCGGCCATTGTGCTTTGCTACATCGGGCTTGTTTCCCTCTTTGCATCCATCTCAGTGTTCTCCGATCGACACCTGTATGGTATGGACGCCCCCGATCACGATTCTCCCCCTTTTCATATTTTTGCCTGATTTCCACCACCGTACTTCTATTTGCATCCGACAATCTCCACCCAACAGCAACCACAAGCACTGACGACCTCATTCCTTCACCATCGGTTGTTGCCCACCCTATCAAACGACACCAAGATCCATGCGGCCCTCTTCTTCCACACACCGGTAATTGGCTCGTTGCCAGATTTTCCAATCACTCGACAACGATTAATTCTTCAACCTAACGTCTATCTCCTTCAATCGACACTTATATTGATCTACTGTCTTTTTTTGATTGTGTTGAATCATCCCAGTTTCTCGTTTCTAAACTTTTACCAGGTAAAACATGTTTTCCCTTAATTTTTTTATTGGTTTGCATTATACATGTTCCAGACTATAAATTAGGTGATGTATATTTGTTCAAATTAAATTACCTTCGTTTCTTTATAATTGAGCTTTGATTATCTGTTATTTATATATGTTGCACAACAGGTGTTTGTGAAAATGGCTGAAAAAGAATTTGATGTTTAAATTCTTGAAGAATCCCAAAGAGAATTTTAACTTGGTTAACGGTGTTACTTAACTGTACAATGTGGTATGCATTCTGTCAGAACGGAATCTCGATTTTATGGCATGGAATTTCAAATTATTCGTTAGTATTTGAAGGTATACACTCTTTTATTCTAAATTTAGTCACTTTCATGTATTTATTAATTACAAATGTTGTATGTTTCATCAAATGGAGTATAAAGATCAGAGCATCCGATTTTGCCCGCCAATTGTTTGATAATATGACCTTTTTCCAACGTATTGGCATATGTGTTAGCTACAATGTAGGCCCTAGAATCATTGTAATTAGATTAAGTCGATTATTTGGATCAATTGACTCGGCGAATACTTGATCAAGTGACTCGAGTATAACATTCTATTAGAATAAATTAAAAGTCTTTAATGTCTAACACATTCTATTAGAATTTATAGTTTTATTCGTTTAGAATATACTACAATTTTTAATATTTTAAAGTTGATCATGTTTTCTTTGTGGATATAGATTTTGAAGAGACTGTCATTGATGTGGAAAAAGAATAAAACATGGAGAAAGAGAGTATTCTAGTTGAATGTATTCTGCCAGAATGTATAAAATGTTTCTTAACAATAATATTCTTTTAGAATTGATTAGTGTTTTTGTTAGATTTTGATGTTTTTATTTTTATTTTTTTTAACCATTCTTAGTTTTAATCCTTAAGAATAAATGTAATTCTTAAACCATTATTAATCATTTTTTTTCAGAATGAATGTAATAATTGTTTAGAATTATTCTTTACGAATTAATGTAATTAGTGATTCTTAAAAAATAAAATCTGTATTCTTTAGAAAATGTTATTCTTGATAATATTTTGTATAATTCTTTAAGCATGTTAATTATAAAAAAAAATATTGAATGAACCATATTCTGCAAAAATAAAATCGAAAATATATTTACTAGTTTATGTTTGACTCTCTGTCATTCTGACAGAATAAAATCGGTTAGTATTAGAAATTATAATAGAATTAAACTTGAATTAATTTAAAAAAATCCAGATTTAAAAAAATGAAATTAATTATCCCTTAAAATCCGGAAATTTCCTTTTTTAATATAGGTTAATTGACCAAAACACTTTTCTGATTAAATTTGAATGATTATATGATACATGTTACCCTATTATAATATCATAGACCCTCAGATCATCACCATTGATTTTATTCATCCATTGGTCCAAAATTGTGCTTACGAACACACAATATATGTAAGAAACAAAATAACCTTTCTCCTTTCTCTCTCTCTCTCTCTCTCTCTCTCTCTATCTATATATATATATATATATATATATATATATATATATATATATATATATATCTTTTCACATTATTTTTGACTTTTCTTTTTCTTATTTTAAACCTTTTTTACAAGAATCAAAACTGTCAAACTTCGATCATTTATGTAATTTAGTTTAATAGTAAATTATATTTGTTTGGAAGTGATTAACAAATTAATACACCAATTTTTTTAAGACTGAACGGTGCGATGCCGATGACACCACACTCCACATAAGATGATGTTGACACTTTTGCCATCTTTGTCATTTTCAACAGAGGTAAGAGTGTGGTGTTGAAGGTAAAAGAGGTAGAATAAGAATGAGAGACATTGATGTTTGAGTGGTAAATGAGGAAAGAGACATCGGTGGAAGTATGCGGCCGGTATAATACCGCTGGTGAAAAAAGCTTTAGGGGGTGGTGTTACCGTCGGTAATCTTGTCCACCTAGGATTGTCATCGGTAAAAATTGCATGATGCCTTTTAGGCTAAACATATAATAGTTGCACTTTTAACCCGTTTTTATAGGAATAAGTTAAAGGAGAACGGTTTGTATAGCTACTAAAAATATAATGTTTAATATTCATATTTATTAAACTGAAAAGTCAGCGAAATTTTGTTATGGGTCCGTCAATCTATGTGCTAAACCAATATAACCCATTGAATTTTTCTTTGCTTTTTTACATTTTACCTGCAATAATATAGATAGTATCTTCAATTTTTCTATATGAATAAAAAGCGGTGAGGGTAGTAAGTATAGAAGGAAATATAGAAAAAATGTTTTCAATAAAAGAAGTATAGTAAACATGGAAAAATGTTTGAGAATCCATCTTTAACAGAACTTTGTAATAAGCAGGCCTTTTACATAAATTTTCAACACTACAAATATACAAGATTTTTTATATATTTTTTTTGGAAGGACAAGTCATCGGAAAGTTGAAACTTCCAAAAATTATACCACTGGAAAATGGAATTACGAAAAGAAAAAAATTTGACAAACAGGAACTCTAAATATGGCATGTTATACTTTAATGTAAGTACATTCAAATCCAACACAAAGATGTAATTAAGAGTCGAAATATAAAGGATTTATATCACTTGTTATTCTAAATGACAGAGAGCACATTGGGAAGTCAAATGCTAAAGAAGACAAGCAATATTCCTAAGCTAGATCGTTAAAAACAAAAAATTGTCATGGAGTCATCAAATTTCAAAGGGTGCAAAATCTGAAGAAATAGTCGAAACAATTACAAAAGAATCGATTTAATGTTAGCCATAAACCTAAATCTATAATATATTCCAAACAACCCATAGGAAAAAGAAATTTCTATACTGATAAACCTTGACCCTTACAAATAGGGCACACATTTTGTCGAACCAACCATTCCGTGATGCATCTTGGGTGATATCGATGTTTGCAGTGAAGCACCGCTACTCTCTCTTTGCTTTCAAATTCAACCTGGCATACAACACAAATCTCACCTTTTTCTTCTTCTTCTTCTTCACAATACCTGGTTACTCGTAGATTCTTGGAGATGAATTTCTCGGTCAACCCACTGCATGGCACGTGACTTGCTGCTTGCTCGAAGCTCTCATTCATAATTTCATCAATCTCGAGATCGTCTAGTATAAAAACTTCATCAACAGGGTCGTAGGATTGTTCTGCTGCATAGTACTGTTGATTGGGAATGGTGGGTACCAAAGATGATAGCCCATTTTCATACATGAAGAGGTCGTTAAAGTTGACTATGGCTGCTTGGTTTCCGTGTAAATACCAGGCGTATGGGTAGGATACATTGAGACGATGTTGGTCTTGTAGATATTGATGAATAGGGAAAGAGTCGTAGACACGTATACAGGTGTCTCCCAGATGCAAATAGTGTGTATGCGTAGGATACGCATCAAAGTCCATCGAAACAAATTGAAGGAAGTTGCAGAAAAATTAACAGATGGTCGTCGTTTGCTAAATTGCAGAAGACAAAGAAGAAGTGAGGGTGCGTGATGGGTGTGAAGAAGGGATATGAGGGGTGTTATATAGGAATTATAGATGGGGTTAGTTTAGGGATGTTTTTGGATTCAAGAAATCGCATGAACAACTATTTCCAAATATAACGAGGCGTATATATCGGTGTGGATTTATGTCAATGACTTGACGATGAAGGTATGAAACGAGTCTAGTTGAGACAATGAGACTCGATGAGAGTTTAACTAAATAGGAATAACATTCTAACTAGAATAAGTTGAACCAACTCCCATCATGTTATTTGTAATCAGATTAAACATGCAATGTAGTGAATATTAAACTCTATTTAAATTTCTTTTAATTTTTATAAATGTTTGATTTGATATAAGATCTGATTTTTTTTTTAAATATGAACGGACCATTATGTCGGCTAAGATTGTGTAATGATGGTTAAAGAGCAATTAGATGTAAATATTATGGTTAATCACATAAAAAAATATCTATATAGTTTTTTCGGATTAAACCTTAAATTTTTTTTTTTTGAAAAAACATTTATAGTTTATTATTTTTACCAATTTGGCCCTTACAATTTTTATGTTTTCGATTTAGCCCTTATATTTTCATTTTTTCGATTTGGCCCTTACATTTTTTCATTTTTTCGGATTAAACCTCAACTTTATTTCTTGTTTCTAAAAAAACTTTTAGATGTTTATAATTTTGTAAGATTTTTTGCATTCGGTTCCATAATTTCATGATAGATGCTCTCAACTTTATGATGGTTTGAGTAAGTCTAGAGAGATTATGTTGTAAATTTTTTGCTTGACGATTGCATAAATTTCTCTTTAATGTGGCATCATCTATATGGTGAAGAACATTATAGGCGCATGTAATGATCTAAAAAAGTTCGACCTAAGATGAGTAACAATCATCAATTTGATCAAGGGTTATCGACATGAGTTTTTGATGTTGGTTATGGAGAAGAAAGGGTGACAGTTGTTATTGTTGGCTTCGTTATTTTCATTAGGAGCCATAGAGTTTGATGATGGAAGAACAACCCATCCCATATTCTTCTCGCCAACTACTGATATCCCTATTCTCTTCTTATCTTTCTAATTTTCCATCATAAAACCTTATGACTTCATAATGAAATTAAAAAAAACAACAACAAGAACAACTTTTCATCCTTCATTTGTCATAACCAACATAAACAAAACTTAATGTCGATAACCCTTGATCAAACTAATGATCATTCCTTATCTTTGGTTAAACTTTTCAATATGATTACATTTACTTATAATGTTCTTGACCAATCGTCAAACACTGGATTTACAGAACCATCTCTTTAGATTTACTCCGAACCCTCATGAAGTTGAGAGTGTTTGTCATGGGAATGATATATATATATATATATATATATATATATATATATATATATATATTCAAAGATAACAAAGATGTAAGGATTTAAAAAAATAAAGTTAAGGTTTAATCCAAAAAAAAAAATAAAAGAATGTAAGGGTCAAATTGAAAAAAAAATTCGAAAAAAATTTGCAAGCGCCAAAACAGAAAAAATATAAGGGCTTTTTCAGAAAAAATAAAATTAATGTTTAATCTGAAAAAAACTCAATATATATGGTTTTTTATGTGAGTAACCCTAAATATTATGAGAATAACACCATTATATTTTAAAGTAATATCATATACTTTTAAAACAAAGGAACCACGTCTAGGTGTGATCCAACTAATTTTTAGCGATGTATTCTACGATGTAAGCTTCAAATTCAACGACGGAAAGAATTGTTGATAATCCGATACAACTTTCCCAAATTTTAAAGCCAAAATTTTCATTTTTAAGATAAGATTTAAACAACAAAAATTCATCCTTTAAATAAATATCATAACAATCCCTTTGTTTCAAAATCTTAAATCATAATGTTAAACATGGTATGGATTCTGATTATGATTGTGCCTTGGCATCCCTTCGCAACAAGCTTCCAGATTTTGACCTTAACAATTTTACTACTAAAGACACCGCCCCCCTAAATCCCAGAATACACTGGCGAGTGCCCTTTTTCGTAAAATTGTCCAAGATATGGAAGTGCATCTCGACATGACGGCTCGGCAGAAAGCGGTTTTCCAGTGCTTACGTGCACCACATGCTCAAGATTTTCTTCTGGCTATCCCTATAGATGAGCTTGGCCAACACATGTCTCCCGTGGAGTATCGTACTATTCTCAAATATCGACTCATGATTCCCATATTCCCAGCTGACGAGATATGTCATGTGTGTCGCAAGGCATGTTTGGACTCTTTTGGAGAGCATGCAGTTCACTGTAAAGAACTCCCGGAGTTCAAATACAGGCACGATATGGTTAGGGATGTTTTGTTTGACATATTTAAGCGTGTCGGGGTTTCCGCTAAGAAAGAAGCACCTGTTAATTTCTTGACTGACCCGACAGAAGGAAGGTCAACCCTCAGACCGGCTGACATTTTGATTTTTGGATGGGTCGGAGGGAAACACACTTGTGTGGATCTTACAGGGGTATCCCCTCTCGTGGGCCTGAGGGCTGGGGGTTTCACGGCGGGACATGCTACTTTAAAAGCGGCTACAAGCAAAGTCACCAAACATGAGAAATCGTGCATGGAAAATCAACACGTGTTCATACCATTTTCATTTGATACGTTTGGTTTCCTCGCACCGGATGCGGTAGAGCTTCTTAAAAGAGTACAACGAATCATGCATAGTAATGTTATATCCCCTAGATCTTCAGATGTAGTCTTTAAAAGAATTAGCTTTACCATTCAAAAAGGCTTAGCGGCACAGCTTGTTGCCCGTTTGCCATCTCACTCATTGTACGATGACAATTAAAATATTGATGGAATGATATGCCTAATGTTGATTAAAAAAAATGTTAAACCAAAGTTAAATTATAAAACTACGAGAAGTCTCAAAATAATATCATAACAACGATGCGAGTATACAATCATGTTGCGCTCTTCCATTTCACACCTGAAAAACCTAAAAACATTTAACTTTTAAAACGTAAGCATAATGCTTAGTGAGTTCCCCATTATATCATATATTCCACCAGACATACAATGCATACAAAAGTAAGCTCACGGTCCCATCGTGCATACCAAGTGTAGACTCTCATCCATTAAACAAACTATAGGCTCTCAGCCATCATACAAACGAAGGTAGAATATCTCATCATATGACCTTCTAAACATCCTAACAAAAGACTACTATAGTCTATCATATATTTGTATATTAACATTACATAGACAACTATGACATCCCCTATTTTTCAAAACCAAATAAAACTTTTTCTTTATGCCTTCAAAACCATGTTGGCTTTGTTTGCGGAAAGTCCCAGTTTATTAAAACATTTTGAGTACACATGTTGTTTCAAAATAACAAAACCCTAAGGATATCATAATCAATACACAACATGAGTTACAACGTAAAGACATATCGGTCATGAATACTATTGCAGGTTGTCTCTTATTCACTCGGCATCCTAATCAAGTTCCAACAACCTTAGTATCGCTACCTGCGATGCATATAATTTGAGTGGGCCAGGTTTAGGAACCTGGTGAGACATATAGGGTTTTCAATCTCACAATATTAATATGATAATAATTCATATTTAATAATCTTGCAAAAACCAACTATTACCAAATAATATAGATATATCATACAACATAAATATCTATAAGATACTATACTCTTTACCCTTAGTTACATAGCCCGTCGATTCTCACACGATGATCCTATAACAATGATCCCTTGAGATCTAACTTGACGGATCACTGTAAACAACGAGTAGATTGCACTGCTTTAGAGATTCATTAGCAAGTGTAAGTCAATTAATGCAACCATGTTGGGGGGATAGAGTACAAAACACCTATGCGAATGAACACCCGACAATGTTCCATAAGACTTCATAGAAAGAGTCAGTGGTTGTCATCTTACTCCGAGAGATGACCATACATACCTTACTGGTTTCCTGATACAAATTCACCATTTTTGTATGTCTAAACTCTAAAGTAATACTAGTGCAATACTCCGATACGTAACCCGTACACCGATACATAATAATGTCACGGAACAAAGCTTTACTCTGTGTTTTTATCTTACACACACCACAATATAAAACCACCAATTTATTTTACTTACTTTGAACTAAACATTCTTTATAAGTCTTAGTTTATAAGTAAACATGATTACAATACACGTAATCACTTCCAATACAGTTAACCTGTTTATAGACCTGGCAATGGGTCGGGTTTGGAGCGAATCAATCTTGATCCAAACCCGTTTAACACATTTCAAATTTTGATCCAAACCTGCTTCGTAACCCGCAGGGTTTTGAATAATCAAACCCACACCCTTATCCGCCGAATCAACAGATATCCAAACCCGCCCCGTAACCCGTAAGTTTTTTGAATAATCAAACACATTTTACTTAAACCTCAAAATAACATTTATTAAATAAATAAAAATTACGGATTAAATAAAACAAATGTTGATTTAAATAACACATTACGTACTCGAGGACTTTCGATTGGAATTAAAATCATTTACGTAGTAACTTCTGATTGCTTTTTGATCGTCGATTTCATTGATAGAGAATAACAGTTGCAAACTTTCTTCCGATTGATAAATTATTGTTTGGTTGATGAAATCTAAATGAAATGACATCATGTTTCTTGGTAGAATACTGAAAGTCTAGAAGTCGAGTCCTCGATTCCTATATAAAAACAGTTTAGTATTTGGTCTTTTCTCTTTGGACTTTCAATTAGAATTAAAAGTAAACTTTAGGTTGAATAAAATATAAATTTATAACTCTAAAATTTATACTGGGTAGGTTATAAATGGAGCGGATCAGTGATGATCCATACCCGACCATTTTAATAAAATGGTTAGTTGGTATGGGTCGTTAACG